CCCTGGGGTCTCCGAGCGGCCCGCGGCCCTCCATCGCAGCAGAGCGAAAGAGGGGAAAACATGAAAACACAAGAAAATACGTGTGTTTTCACGTGGAAAAACAGGAAAACAGCGAAACCTTTGACTGTCGCTCTTTTTTCATGTTTTCTTGTTTTTCCATGTGAAAAAACACAGTTTTTTTTGTTTTTTGTTGGTTTGTCTTCTTCTCTGTTTCTTCTTCTTCTTCTTCCTCTTCTTCTTCTTCCTGTTTTCCTCGTTCCTCCCCTCAGCGCTCTGGGTTCTCTGAGCGGCCCACGGCCCTCCCTCGCAGCAGAGCGGAAGAGGGGAATACATGAAAACATGAAAAAAAGCAATGAAAAAAAAACGTGTGTTTTTTTCACATGGAAAAAACAGGAAAAACCAGCGAAACCTGTGACTGTCACTCTTTTTCAAGTTTTTTTTTGTTTTTTTAATTAAAAACAAAAAAATGTTTTTCCATGTGAAAACAAAATGTTTTTCTTGTTTTGCGTTTCCCGTTTTTCTTGTTTTCCCCCTCCCTCTCCAGAGCGCCCTGGGGTCTCTGAGCGGCCCGCGGCCTCCCCTCCCAGCAGAGCGGAAGGGGGCGCGGGCGGGTTTTCCTCCAACTACGCATCGTTGCAGAACGGGCGCGGCTGAGCCACGCGCGCGGGCACTCAAGTGAAAGGAATTACAGGAAAACGCGAACGCGCATCAGCCCCTGAACAGCGAGCTCGAGCAATCAAGTCATGGGATCACGACACGGACTAAGCAACAAAGCTCTGGCGCAAGAGAGCCTAAACCCAATCCCCAACGCATCGGGACTATTCAGGGAAACGCGGATCTGCTCAAGGAAACGCAACAGAAACAGGCCGCTTACGGAGACAGCGCGCCGCCGCAGCGGCCGCCGGCCTCTTGCGCAGGACTTTAGCGCTGGGATGCAGGCGCTCCGCGTCAACGCGCGGGTTCGCGCGCGCCGACAAGCGCAGCTTTGGCGCTATTTTCGGTGGGGCGTCAATGAGAGCGCCGAGCGCGGCCTGGAGGAGCTCGCGCTCCTGGTGCAGTTCGGTCAACGGTAAGCTCTTCCTCACCCAGCCGACCAACAGCTTGGCGAACGTGCATATTGAGCATACTGCGCGTGCGTTCCGCTCAGTTTGCATGAACACGTTCCGAAAGAATGCTTTCAGTTGCATGTGCAGAGCTTCATTCCTCGCGGTCCCGTACACCACCTGAACGCTGGGTTTCCGCGCAATGAATCTACCAAGATTCAAGATGTATTCAAGCTGCGCAGGTGACGTTGCATATCGCAGAGCACCAAGGATAGTAGTTTTCTCACTCGTCGTCTTGTCCATCTCCCGCGGGGACATCTTGCACAGCGCGGCGATGTCTCTGACGAAAGCTGCGGCGGCGCGGCACGGCCGCCCGGGATAGCCAGCGGCTTCAATCGCCGCTTTGGCCCGCGCTGCCGAAGCGTCCGAGAGGGAGGAGATAGCGTCGCCCAATGACTGCCATTCCGCCCGCCGCCGCTGCCCGCGGAAGTACGGCTTGCCATCGCCTAGGCCCATGGAGAAAATGGCGATGCATCGGCGGACGAGGATCGATAGCGAAGTGCACTTCTCGTTGGACGCCTGCTCGATCTTCAGGGCGATGTGCAAGGGACCCTTGGAGAGGCACTGCAGCCGCGGGAACGCGACGCGGAGAGCGGTCTCTTCCATTGAGATGGGCGCATCCGAGCATATCATGCGCACCTGTCTGGCGCCGTTCTCGTTGCCAACGGCTTCAAGAAGAGCCCCTTGGGCGTGCTTGAAAGCCTCGGACGGCGCTGGTTGCACCAAGAGAACAGGGTCCATGCACTGAACAGAGAGCTGCACGTGGACGCCCTGATTTCGATTGCCACCTATGAGAATGCCGACCACGCGCTGACGCCGACCCTGGCCGCGCCGACCCTGTGCCCAGCATCGGTGCATGCACAGAGTCGGCATTGCCAGGTTCGGCGCATGCGCATAATTGGCATCCCCATTACCTCCATGAGACCCATGCTGCGTCTGGTACAATACCGACACTAGAGTTGAGTACTGCCCGTCAATGCCAATGACAGTCTTGTCTGCGCCCTCGCGGCATTTCGCGATCATGTTTCTGATGCTGCAATTTCTCAACAACCCCTTTACGAAAGTCATATGAATGCGGGAATCGTCTGGGAAAAGGCAACGGGTAAAACCTGCGGCGCCCTTCACGTGAGCCCAGGCCCGCTCCTTGGACCCTTTGGTGTCTGGGTGGAGTAACGCGGCCAAGAACGAAGCCAAGAAATCATTTGTACAACGGTAATGCTCACTGACTCGGTGATACTTTGGTGCGTCCTCGCTCAAGATATACCGAGTGCGTTCCCTGGCATCGAGCAGGAGCACCGTGTATCGATCGGAGTCAGTCTTCCTCAGCTGGTGATTGACCTCGTTCCAAGATGGAGACTCCATGCACCCATTCCGAATGAAATCAGAACTCCGCGAAAGTAGTGAGGGCGGGCTGGTCTCATCTGCGCCCGCAGCCCAGAGGCTCACAGAGCGCCGACATAAGGCTGAGTGGTTCCACATCGCATGGATCACGCGCATCAGTTTGTTCGACGCGCCACAGAGCGTCGCCCCGACGTGGGTATTGCTCATGTGCGAAATCAACTTATCCCTTCGTTGGAAAGTCCTGAAGGGGCACATCGGGCAGTGCCACAAGTCGTCCTGGCGTGCAGTGCCAGCGCTCTCCGCGTCGCGGAGGGCCGACAAGGTAGCTTTGGCTTCTTGGTCAAGCATCGCTCTGAGCTCAACTGGCGTCTTCGACAGATAAGAACCTTTTCCCCCGCCCAGTCTGTCGAAGAGGTCCGTCGAGAACGACACGTTGCGCTTCGACCCCACGGCGTCCACATGCTCGGTCAGAGCGCCCAAACTGGACTGATGAAGCCGCAGGATGGCTCCGTCCAAAATGAGAGTATTCACGTAGCACTCTGGAACGTGTTCTTCCAGGCCGCCAGCGAAGTCGTTCATGATCTCCTCCTCCACGGCAGCCAGCGCAAAGTGGAGGCGAGACGCGCGAGGGTTTGGCCTATCAGCGAAGCGGCGCCTCAAATATTCAAAACGAGGCATGTCCAACACGATATCCACGGCCGCGTGAAGCTGGACTGGGAGATTCCACAAAAACGGAATGTCATTGGACGGCCTGCCCAAGTGGACCAACCGAATCAACATCTTCTTAGCTGCGTTCAATGGTATCTCGCAGTACTGCACTAGAAACTCTCGCCAATGACTGTAATTCTCGACGAAGCTGATGAGTACTTCAAAATCAGATAAGTCTGTCACTGCTTCTCTAAGCAGATTGAGCAGGATTGCGGGGTAGCAGTTGTTGATGTCCACGTCGGCAAAAGTCAAGTCACCTCCAGCCGACGACCCAACTTCAGCCGCCATGGCATTTTTTTGGCCTCCCTGCTCAAATGCGACTGCATTGACGGCCCTGCCGCGTACCATCTGCCTGGTATGCCGTGCTTGCTGTGATAGGAAACCTTCATCACACCGAAATCGCCGACTCTGCGGCCGCGCGTGCGGTAGGCCTCCATGAGCCGCCGTATCTGTGACACCTTGGAAGCAAAAGCCTCCTCCTCTAAGCCCTGGGCGAGCGCGGTGACGTTAATCCATTCATCAACTTCGCATGCGAACTTATGTTCGCCATCCAATTCTCTGCTGTCTGCTGGGTCTGGCACCACGGGGGCAAGTGGCGGGCACTTACTTTTGCACTCCCACACCGGTAACCATTTCTGAAATCCTCCGCCGAACACGCACGCGTCGTGCTTGTTCAGGATCTCCGAAAACCTGTCGTAACTGAGGTTGAGGAAATGCAGCTCCTGCGGGCGCCAACACAGACACATGCAACAATCACAGCAAACGTGCACCACCCCGCCCGCGCGCATGCGTGCAGTGCAGGCGCGCAACCACAATGCGCGCGCGTCGACGTGTCATGGGGGCAATGAGAGCGCGCGCCACATGCAGTCATTTTCGCTTCCACCAACTTCCGCGGCCTCCCGCCACACTCCGCCCCGTGGGGCGCGGGGGGAGCGAAGCAGCTTCACGCCTTCGGAGTTCCGCGGGCTTCCGCGGCCGTCCGCCAAGCTTCCACCGACGCTATTACTGTCCTCGGCCGAGGGTTTGCGGCCCGCGCATGCATCCCCCCCATTCCTACTGCTGCCCCTGCATGGCCATTGCAAACTTCATGCATTGGTTTCTTGGTCTGCTCTTGCACTGCAACCAGATGAGGCCAAGCGTCAACGGCCGCCATAAGAGCATCCAGCCGAGTCGGCTAGCCCTTGGCTCCGTGCCTGAAAGCACCAGGTACATGTCTCAGCAGTGAGTTGGCCTGGTACATATTCACTTGTGTCTTGCCTGCCGCGTCTCGGTGGGCAGTCTCAACGATTGCTCTAGCCTCGCATACCCGTTTAAATTCTTCAGCTGAGTTTGTGAATTCAGCTGGCATTTCGAAGCCGCCATTGGCCATCTGCGCAACGACCCTCCGAGTCTCCTCCACAATCGACTCGTCTGGGTCCAGCAGCATCTGGCGGCAGCTGCTGGCGGTGTGCTCCTGGATGAAAGGCCACAAGAAGAATTTAATGTAGGCGAGACGAATTTGGTCGCCTTCCAAGAAGGACATCAAGTCAGCACCCTCGCGGAACACTGCGCCGTCGACATTGATCGACCCGACGTTGCTGGTGAAAACAGACTTGAGAACAACAACTCTGAGGCGTCGCCAAATAGAAGTTCGTGGAACTTCTTGCAATCCCCGCTAATAGATGGAAACTGTCTGTTCGTTTCCCAATATTTTGCGCAAGTCAGCCACCGATAGTATTGGGTCGTCTTGCCGAAGAGGGGGCGACAAGCAATGAATTCTCCAGAACTTTTTCCAGACCTCTTCCAGCAATGCAATGCCAGCCGCGCACTCCTGAACAGTAAGTCTTCTTGCGTAAGCAAGCTGCCCACCTTGTTTTCTGAATTCCTGCGGCTCTTGGAATACGTCTGCAGCGAGGACAGCATGGTGCCCGCCGAATACGCTATTCCGTAGCACTGTCCTGGCGGACTTGGAATTGCTTCCGTTCCCCGTGAGCATGACCATCACAGGCGGCGTCGGTACGCCCATCCACGCCAGCGCCTCCATCGCGAGGTCAATCACGCGCCCAGGCTCGTTGCCAGCAAAAGATGTTGCTAGGAAAAGGCCCAGCTTATCCACGACATCTTGGGCTGGTTCTGGTACGATGCTGATTGGTATTCCAAAGTAGCATCGGTTTTCCCTTGCCTTTGGGATCTGCACGATCCTGTCTGCGGCTGTCTCAGCGCTGTCGTCAATCTTAACAGCGCAGTCTTCAAACGCAACGGAAACGAAGGGAGGGTCTGGCTTGGGGACATGGAACCAGGCGCCGAGTAGATCCACGAGCTTCTCAGATTGGCCCTTGCCCGTGGATCGACAAATGACTTGCTGGCAACCCCTGCAGGCGTCGAACGCCCAACCAGCAACTTGTTCCTTCTTCACTTGTAGATCTGATGAGCACACAGTTTGAGCTGCTTCCCAATTCCCAACATCGCTCTCCAGGAACTGAAACACGTTAACTAAGTCGCGCGGGACCTGCCCGTTCATGATGCGAAGTAGAACAACTTGTGTAACGGACAACACCCGTTCAATCTTGTACATGTACGCCGTGGGAAGATCTTCCACTCGCCCGAACGACCCCTGCCGGTATAAATATACGCCGTCTGGGTGCGCAATGGTGCCGTCAAGTGCCAAGGCAGCGATTCGCGCAATGAGGAGATCGTTGGTAGGGTTCCAGTGCAGCGGCTCCATAACGCACATCGCTATTACTCTTAAGCAGAAGTGTTCAAGGCCCGCTGGCTGCGGGTCCCACGCCTGCAACAATTCGTTCGTCTTGTTAATCACTTGCGACACCGCTGCCCTGACGTCGAATTTCGCGGGCTCTACATCAGACACCAACGTAGGCCCTGGACGCGCCTGGAGACGCCTGAACTTCTCTGGCTCCCACTTGTCGAGAATCCGCCGCTTAGTCTCCGCCGTGTACAATTCGACAGAATCCATGCCGCCCAGAGTATCCACGGATGGCGCCGTCGAAGATGTCCCATCGGCGGTGTACTCCAGAATGGCGCCGCCGTCTCTGGTACTCTCTCCATCAGATCCAGCGACGTCGAGTAAGGCTACCATGTCGGGAACGCGGTTCGGCCGAGGATGAAACAAGTCATCATCCTGCGGCAGCGCATCAAAAGGTTCAACATCTAGATCGCTGTCTCCTGAATGACTCGAAGCTTCCTCGACGAGGTATAGGCGCTTCAAGTAAGCATCAAAAGCATGTACGTCGATCAGTGGGTCAATGTCAATTGAACGTGGCGAATTTTCTCCATTGTCGAACGCTTCCTCGGTATCGTACAAGCGCTGCAACCTAGCGCCAAACGCGCGCCTGTCCGAGTCTGATTCTGTATCCGTTACATCGCCTTGGTCTGAGATCTCCCCGATGTCGACGACGCGGTACCAAGTGGCATCTGATCCCAAGAATGTTTCGAGAGAGCTGATCGGGCCGTCGAACTGGCACCGCTGGTCGCCATCGATGGCGTCGTACCCGTCCTCGAATACTTTCACGGCAACGAAGTGAAAGAAGACGTGCACCAAGTATTTATCTGGGCCCGCATCATGATCTGGTCTCTGAACGTGCTTCAGCGCCTTGCCGAGAGGAGCGAGGAAGCGATTGCCGTCTCGGAGGGCCCAGTGGGGCCCGTCCTCATCAATCTCGACCTTGTGCCCCAGGTTTTGCAAAGCTTTCGGGAGGCACACATTGGTGAAAGGCACCTTGCGAATGCAAATGGGCCCGCATGCGGCGTTTGAGCAGCGCCGCGAAGAGTAGCCGCGCGCCGATCGTGATGCAAGGCAGCGCCGGGCCCACTGCCGCGCGTCGCCCTTCCCGACCAGCACTGGGCACGCCGCCGACGTCGACAACCTGCGGCGAGGCGTCGTCGATCTCCTCGCCCCAGTCAGCGGGGGCAGCATGGCTGGCGTTGGCTTGTTTGAAGGGCGGCGTCGCGCGGACTCCATTCTTCGGGCTCCTTGTGGCTATGGCGTTGACCTTGACGTGGTAATCTGCGCCCTTGAACGCCACGAGCAAGGACGGCTCCGAGAAGGCATCGCTCTCGCCAACGACCACGCCCTTCATGCCGTGCAATGTGTTCCCCTTGCGTGGCCCGCGAGGCTGGCGCTTCTTGACCTTCCAGTATACCGTTTGCCCCAACGCATAGCCACGGAGGCGCGGCGCGGCATCTTCACCGCCGTCGCTGGTCTTCGCGGCAAGCGAGCGCGGCCCCCGACTCACTCGAAACGGGCCCCTCACTTGGCGGCGGGTGGACACGGCGCACAGCTTGACGTGGTAGTCATCGCTCTGGAAGGACACCACCAAGCAAGGTGCCGTGCACGCGCCGCTCCCGCGGACGACGGCCCCCCTCATGCCGTAGCTGGCGTCCCTGAGGGCCCAGTGCACCGTCTGCCCCGCGACGTGGCCGTGGAGCGAGGGCTCGGGGTACAACATATCGCCGGGATCCGACTTCGTCTCGCGCAAGTCCTTGCCGTCTTGTGCCGCGTCCAGGAACCCGTGGTAGAATCCGTTTTTAATCTTCAGGAAACAGTCGACCGTGCACATGTCGTCGCAAGCTGCCATCTGGGCAGGCAGAGACGAACTTATCAGAAAGCCTAGTGGAAGAAAGCAAAACGCAATTGAGCGCTAGTGCAAACTTGAGCCAGGCCAGCTACGGAGCTACCTGATCCCCGTTGGGATGCCCCTATCAATAACACTCCACACTGTTTGGCGGTACCCCTGTTTGGAACCCCCTCAAACATCGCTGCGTTGAGGGCATCCCTGTTTGGGATGCCCTCTATCAACGACACCCCAAAATGTTTGACACCACCCTTCTTTGGGACCCTCTCAAACATCCTTGCGTTGAGGGCATCCCTGTTTGGGATGCCCTCTATCAACAACATGTCAAAATGTTTGGCGGCACCCTTGTTTGGGGCCCTCTCAAACATCTTTGTGTTGAGGGCATCCCTGTTTGGGATGCCCCTATCAACAACACCCCAAACTATCTGGCGGCCCCCTCGTTTGGTATATCCTCAAACATCGCTGCATTGAGGGCATCCCTGTTTGAGATGCCCCTATGAACAACACTCCAAACTATCTGGCGGCCCCTTGTTTGGTATATCCTCAAACATCGCTGCGTTGAGGGCATCCCTGTTTTGAAATGCCCTCAGAAACATCACGGGCCCTCAAGCAGAATACATTGGTAACGTTTTGGGGCCCTGGGCGCCCTTTCCCGCTCCTCCCTCAGCCGTCGCCGTCGTTTTCGTCTGTTTGTGTTGTTGCTTTTTTAAAGTCTGCAGCTGCGCGGCTGCGTTCAGCCCCAGTCGTTAGCGTGCTCCTTCGGCGGGCCGTTTTCGGCCAACCAAAAAACTCGCTCTGCGAGTTTCCGCGGCAGGTGGTCGGGGGCCCAGCTCGCGAAGCTGGCCCACCACCTTTTCCAGGAGCGCAGCTCAGAGGTGGCACCCTCAAGCTCGTTGGCCTTCTTCTCAGCGGCGGCCAGCTTTTTCGTCAGCCTGCTGTTCTGCTGCGCCAGCTGGTCTCTCTCCCGCTCGTCCGCCTTCTTCTCGGCAGCAGCGAGCTTGTCCGTCAGCCTCCGGTTCTGTTGCAGCAGCTGGTCTCTCTGCCGCGCCAAGGCTTTCGGGCTTGCCTCCGCCGCGCCCTTGTCGCGGTAGTGCTTGTTTGACCGTCTCCTATCGCAGCATAATACACACCGACAACACATACAAGGCGGCGCGTCAGATTCTGCATGCCCCGCAAACGAAGGAGTGCGGCCTGGCGAGAATAAGCGGGTTCGAAAGGCGGTCGCCCTTCGCGGGAGCACAGGAACGGACGTGCCGCCAAGTTGTTGCTGGTACGATTTCATGTTGCCTGTCCTCAAGTCGTCGGCTTGCCGTCGGTGCTCGAGAGTCTGCGCCCGCAGCTTCGCAGCAGCTTGGCGCCCAGCCTTCAGTAGGACCTCTCGGGTCCGCTCCTGCTTCAGGAACTTCCCCACCCGTATCTTCGCCCGCCGCTCGTTGTTAGCGTCGAGTTTGTCCCTGTGCGCCTTGGTTCCCTTGCGGGGGTTGCCCATGGCCGAAGACGGTTCTGCAGCGTGGCCGCAGAAGAAAACTTGAACATAGATGCGTATTACAGGCACAACAACAATAACTATGATGATCATGCTAACGATGACGATGATGATGGTGATGATGATGGCGATGATGATGCTGATGGTGGTGGTCATGATGTCGATGGCGCCGATGATGATGACGATGATGATGATGATGATGATGAAGCTGATGATGATGATGACGACGACGATGCGAATGCCCACATTGCGAGACTGGAGGGGCCCGCACAGCGTTCCCCTCTCAAACCCACATGATCCAATTGGTAGGTCATAAGTAGAAAAAACCATATGTTCCAGGGGGCGGAGATACAACCTCCACCCCCCCCCCCCCCCTCCCCGATCGGCGGCCTGCCGCCTCCCTCCACCGCCTCCACCTCGGCGGCAAGCCGCCCACCCCCTCCTCCCTCCCCTCCCTGGCCCTCCTTCACTTCGCCCTCCCCCATAGCTCTCTTCTTCCCCCCCGCGCACCCTTCGGCACCCCCCTCCCCCGCCCCCCCTTCGCACCCTCTCCCCCCTGCGCCCCCCCTCGCCCAGGAGGAGGAGGAGGAGGAGGGAGAGGAGGAAGAGGAGAAGGAGGGAGGAGGAGGAGGGGGGAGGAGGGGGAGGAGGGAGGAGGAGGAGGAGGAGGAGGAGGAGGGAGGAGGAGGAGGAGGAGCAGGAAGATCAGGAGTAGGATATGTCCGTCGCACGCGCATTGGCTCGAGCCGTTTTTGGCGAGCCCTCCTCCGAGGGCTTCGGGCGGCGTGCGCGCGCGGGGAGTCGCGCACTCCGCTCGGCGCGCGGTCGCGCCGCATCGCTGCCATGGAGGGCATCCTTCGAGGCCGTTTGGAGGAGGCGCGGGCGGCGTTCGTAGCGCGCGGCAGCGCGACGGAGCACCTTGCTGCCTGCGTCCAGGCGGCGACAGCAGCCCGCCGAGTACGAGGAAGGCCCGCGCGGCGTCTGCGTTTCGCTCTGCGCCATGCATGAGAGAGAGGGAGGCATGGAGAGACAGAGAGAGAGAGAGAGAAGAGAGGAGAGAGAGAGAGAGGAACAAGAAAAAATATAGAGAGAGAGAGAGAGAGAGAGAGAGAGAGAGAGAGAGAGAGAGAGAGAGAGAGAGAGAGAGTTCGAAGTTCGAGAGAGAGAGAGAAGAGAGAGAGAGTTCGATATGCAAACGCCCTCTCTCTCTCCCGCGCCCCCATCGCCCCCCCCCCCCCCCCCCCCCCCCCGCCGAGGCGCGAAAGGGGGCGAGCTACCAGGCCGAGAAGACGGCGACCTTCGAGGAGGACGAAGACTGGGTGGATTACAACACGATGGAACTCGTGAGGGCTCGGCACTGCCCCGAGGCGCGGCTCGGGCTGAGGGAAGAGCGGTTCCGTCTTCGCCAGGGCACCAAGGGCTTCGCCGTGATCGCCGTCGACGGTGAGACGATCGAGACGCTCGTGGCGAACGCCGCCCTGCAGGCCGCGGAGCAGGGGGGCCGAGGGAAGGCAGCCAAGCCGCAGCAGGCCCACCCGAAGGGCGGGGCGAAGAAGCGGCTAGCGGCAGCGCGGAAGAGGCCGGCGGCAGCGGACGAGGAGGAGGAGGAGGGGGGGGGCGAGGGCGAGGCCAAGGGGGCCCGCGCCCGCGACGACAGCGAGGACGGCGAAAGGGAGAGCAGCCAGGAGACGAACGAGTCCGACCGGGAGGGCGCCGCGGGCGGCCGGGGCGAGCGGAGGCCGGCTGCGGCCGACAGGAAGCCTGCCGCGACCGACGAGAAGCCTGCCGCGGCCGACAGGGGCCCGAGATTGGAGGCGGAGGAGGACTCTGTGAAGGGGAAAGCTTGGGTTGTCATGTGGTATAAGGCAGGCGAGAAGAAGAAGGAGGCCGTGGCGATCCGTGACTACTCCGAGGCGCAGATGCGGGAGATGGCAGCGGACATGGTCAGCAGGATGTTCATGCGGGAGATCACGGAAGCGACCGTGAAAGCGCGAGGCGAGGAGTTCCTGCGCGACCAGTTCGGACTGGCGGCGGCGGCGCGAGTAGCCGGATGGGGGCGGCGGCAGCGGAGATGCGCATGTAGCGCAGCCAGTTCTGGGCCACAGTCACGCAGCTGAAACAGGAGTTCGGAACCAGACCTTGCACCGTTCTCGATGCGGCCCGCTAAAAAGGAGGGGGGCGAAGAGCGAAGGCAAAGGGGGGGGGGCAGCGCCTCCTCGACGAGAGCCCGCCCCCTGCGCGCAGAGGAGGGGCGCGTTGATCGACAGGGGGGAGGCGACGCCCCCCGATGGGGGCCCCGCCTCCTGCTCGGCAGCATCGCCCCCGACAGGAGGCCCCGCCTTCTGCTCGGCACCGCGTTCTATAGGGGGCGCCACCTCCTGGTGCATCTTGCTCCGAACGGCAGCTGGGCGCGCGTTTTCATTCGCCCGTCGCAGCCACGAGCGCCCCTCGCGGGGCGTCCTCGCGACGCCCGGGGCCGCGCGGCCCCTTCCCAAGCAGGGCCTCTCGGCGGGGCCATGGCGGCCTCTTGGGCAGCGCTGCCGCTCGCGGCGCTGGCGCAGCAGGCGGAGGGGGAGGGGGGAGAGGGGGGGGGAAAGGAGGGGGCCTCGCCTCCTGAAGGAGGAGGAAGAGGAGGAGGAGGAGGAGGAGCAAGTCTTTCTATGCCCTTCCCCACCCCCCCTGCCCGCAGGCGGCGGCGACGCTGCGCCCCCCGACGGGCCGCCCACCGCGCCCTGGCGGGGGCGACGGTGGAGGCCCGCCCGGCGGCGAGGACCCGCTCAAGGACACGCTCCGTGACGGGCGCCCAGCTGCTGGCGAAGAGGAGGAGGATGGGGGGGAGGAGGACGACGACTGCACGATCGTCTATGAAGGGGAGCCCGACGAGGAGCTGCAGTGGCTGCCTGAGGAGACGGGGAAGAGGGCGGCGCGCGCGTGGCTGAAAAGCCGCGGGGGGCAACGGCGCATGCACTGCTTGCAGGGCAAGTTCGTGCACCTGCGCTTGAGCCACCAGCGCCAGCGCCGCAACATGGCCACCCACCACGCGCACATGGCGATTGCGGCGCGGCCGCAGGCGCGGAACCGCATGGCGAAGGGAGCGCGGCAGCGCGAGCTCCTGGGGATACAAAAGCAAAATGTATAATTTCGCGCGGAGACAACGGGAGCAAAAACACGCATGCGCAACCATCCATCCCCAGGTTCTTGAGCAAGAAGCGCGTCATGGAGGCGACGGTCGCCGCGGAGATGGAGGGGGCGGTCGCTGCGCCGCGGAGGGCGCGGCAGAAGCAGGCGGGGCGATTTCGAAGTTCAAACTTCCGAGTTCGACGTTCGAAGTTCAAAGTTCGAAATTCGGATGTCGAGTTTCGAATTTCGAACGTCGAACTCGACGGACATGGTACTCGAGGAGGCGCCGCCTCCCGCAGCATCCCCTCTCCGCCCAGGTGAGCTCCGAGGTGCCCTGGGCGCCGCCGCGCCGCCCGCGCATGCCGGCTCGGAAGCCCCCGCAAAAGCTTGCCCCTCGGCGCGCAGCGGCGGCCGCCGCGCCTGCACCAGAGGATGCAGCAGCAGCAGCTCCAGCAGACGGCGCAGCAGCAGCAGCAGCCGCAGCCGCAGCACTGGGCGCAGCAGGAGACGCAGCAGCACAGGCACAGGACCTGGAAGGCCTGCAGCAGCAGCTCCGGCAGCAGCTCCAGCAGCGCCAGCAGTTCGGGGCAGCAGCAACAGCTCCAGCAGCATCGTCCAGCACGGGCTGGCGGCAGCCAGCCCAGGGTGGCCTCTTCGGCTTGGATAGGCCTGCCTCCAAGGCGCCGAGCCAGGCTGCGCCGCCGAGGAAAGTCCTGGCGGCGACAAGCAAGGCGCCGAGCGCAGCGCAGCCGCCGAGCGCTGCGGCGCCGCCCTGGCAGGGATGGTGGGCCGCGCCAAATTCATCAGGAGGTGACCTCCTGCAGAGCTTCCCGCCGCAGGTGCCGACTCGCGCCGCGATGGCTGCCTGGGCTGCGCAGCACCAGCAAGATCAACAGCAGCAAGATCAACAGCAGACGGCCGCGAAGCAGCAGCACGAGCAACAGCAGGCGGCCGCGCAGCAGCAGCAAGCGCAACAGCAGCAGCACGCGCAGGAGCAACACGCCGCCTGGGCTGCGCAGCAGCAGCAGGCGCATCAGCAGCAGGCGGCGGAGATGCAGCAGGCGGCGGAGATGCAGCAGCAGACGCAGCAGCCTGCAGCCGCAGCAGCAGCAACGGCACCTGGCGCCGACGCGGAGCAGCAACAGCCGCAGCAGCAGCAGCCGACTGAGCAACAGCAGCACCTGGACGCGACGAGGCCCCTTTCAGCAGCAGCAGAACCACCTCCAGCAGCAGGCCGACCAGATCGCTACGAGCATCCAGACGCCGCGCGAAAGGTTCGGGCTGCCGCAGAGCGACCACCTCTGAGGCGATTGGGCCTTCGAGAGGTTTTCCTTCCAGGGCGGCCACGCGTCGAGGCGACATAAGGTTCTCTTAGAATCGCCTCGTCGCGGGATTGCCTTGGAAGGTCGAACCCCCGAATGCTCAGCAGGCGGCGACGCGGCGCCTGGAGGACTTGGGGATGTGGAAGGGGAGAGGAGGAGGGTGGTAAGGAGGCGCCGCCTCCTCGAAGAGAAAGGCAGACTCTTTCCCTCCACCTTCCCCTCTCTCCCCATTCCATTTGGCCTGCGCTTTCCCTCCCCCTCGCTCCTCATCTGTTCCTGCCGCTTCTCCCTTCCATCCCTCTGCAGAGGAGACGCGCGCCGCCGTGGGCGGCATCCACGGCGGCAACTTTCTGAGCCGCGCATTTGATTCGGCCTGAGAAAACGCGATGGACATGCAAGCCGAATGCGTTTTTTCTATCGAAAATGAAAACTATTGCGTTGATGTTGAACGCCGCGTGCTTTTGATACAGATTATGTAGATTTTTGTTTTAACGAGCTGTTGATTGTATAGGTTCGCATGTGTTGTTTTGTTGTGTGTATGTTTGTATGTTTGTTTTGTTGTACTTCAGCTGTTTTTTATAATGTACCAATCAATGCTTGTATTATTAATGCAAATAAGTTGTCGTGAGGCTTGTATGTTTGCCTGTGTTTGTATGTTTGGTATGTTTGTATTTTGTGTTTCCGTATGCGTTTGAACTTATCCCAACATCAGCGCGTTGAAGAAATGCGCTCGGTTTGCAAGGGCAAAGGGGGAAGGGGCTGCGAGGCGCCGAGGAGGCGAGGACTCCTTTATTTTTGCATTGGAGGCAAAGCCTCCTGCGCTGTAGGCTCAGCCTCCAGAAGAAGAGAATATAATATAAGGTTGAGCGTTTAAGGAAACACAAGAGGAGCTTCGCGCTGGAAGTACCAGCGAAGAAGAGGGCGCTGTCCGACGCCTGCCGCATCCCTCAGAAGTTCGGCGCCATGACCACCTGGCGCCCGACAGAAGAGGGACGGAGGAGTGCGGATGAGGGGGGGGGAGGGGAGAGGGGGGCGGGGGAGGGGGGGGCGAGCGCCTGATGGGATAGCGCCACATCTGCAGGCTCGGGCTCGCGTTCCACTGCTGGAACGCCCACAAGTCCGCTTCGTGCGCGTGGCGGCCGACCTGGGAGGAAGGGGGGAAGTTGAGGTTAGGGCATAGGAGAGCAAAAGGGAGGGGGGGGAGATCGGGCCGTGTAGCGCGCCAGCCGCTCCCCCTTCTTCCACTCAAACTACAACGCCTGCGTCGGGCCATCGGGCATGGTGATCCACCCCTCCTGCTCCGGTTCCTCTGCGAGGGCGAGCACAATTCAAACGGTTTCCCTTCCCCTCCCCTTCCTCGTTCCCTCCTCTTTCCGCGCTGGTGTCCTGGTGCGCCCAGTTCACCTGTGGCTGCGGGGCCCCCTGCTTCCTGTTGCGCCCCTGCGCTCCTGGAACGGTGCAGCCGCGGCGTTTTGCCCCGCCCGACGGCGCGAGAACCCCGTCCAGCGCGCGCCCACCTTCGACCCCGTGGCTCGAAAAGGCGCCGAGAACTGCAACAAAGATCGCAAACTCAGCTGAGGGGGCCCTCGGCGCACGGACGGGGGGGGGCAGGCGAAAGGGGGGGTGGGGGGTGGGGGGGGGGAAGGAGGCGACGCCTCCTGCATCGTACGGCCGCGGAGGGCAGGCGCTGGAGGCCGCGCCTCCTTGGCAGGAGGCCGCGCCTCCTCGTTTATGCCGGCGCCGCCGCAATGTCCGCGCCTGCCGCGGCCGTTTCCGAAGCTCGGATTTCCAATGTCCGTAAACCCATGTGTTTCTGTCGCTTCCACAGTAGATTCGCGAGATGCTGTTGTTGCTTTCGCTCGTGGACCCCCTTGCCTTGAGTACCTGCGCGGCGTGCGCGGCGCCAAAGGCAAAGGGAATAGCAAAGGGCAAAGCAATGGGAAAACCGAAGGGCCCGCCTCCAGCGAAGAGCCCGCCTCCAGCGAAGGCACCTGCATGGCGCGGCGCGGCTGGGAAGCCGAAGGGCCCGCCTCCAGCGAAGGGGCCTGGAGGAGGCGGCGCCACTGGGAGCGCGGAGAGGCCGCCCCCGAAGGCCAAGAAGAGCTCGCCCCCCCCCCCCCGCCGCCAGATTCCCTGACGAACGCGCAAACCACTTCCTCATGAACCACCTCCGGTACAACGCGAAGGATGGCAATGCCCAGAGCGACTACGGGAAGAAGCGCAGCATCCCCCTTGCAATTTTCAAGCAACTCGGCGAGCAGAAGCGGAAGGAGTTCTACGACGCGTTCATGACCGAGAAGGAGAAGGGCGAGAAAGACGCCAAGAAGCTGAAGGGCCTGGCGCATTCCTTCACAGCCGTGCATGAGTCCTCGAAAAAGGAGTCGACAAACAGCAGACAGAAATGGGTCATAGTCACGCAGCTGATGCAGGAATTCGGGGTCAACCTGGGGAACTTTCCCACCGTGTCGGCGGGGCGCGATGGGGCTCGCAACAAGTGGCGCAAGAACGCCGAGAAGCACAAGACGGCAGGATCCCACCCGCCCCAGATCGACGCGGAAGAAATCATCGATTCATTATATTCTTACGTATTCGACGATGGTCTGCAGACCGCAGCCGAGGAGGGGACGGGAGAGCAATGGGCCTCATACAAAGACTATGGGAAGACAAGCAAGGGCGCGCTGGAGGACATGGCTCGGGGATCCGCGTCTGCGGGGCAGGGGGGCGGCGACGTGAAGATCGAGAACCAAGAGTACCGCGACATGGCCGAAAAGAGAGAAGAGCGCAGGATGGGTACCCCGTTTCTTCCTGCAACTTCCACGCATTGCCCCAGCCTCCTCCGCCCCCCCCCCCTCTCATGCCCCCCCTCTGTCCCTCCTATCCCCCCGCGCCGCCGCAGGCAGAATTCGCCCTGCAGAGGCAGCAGAAGGACATGAAGGAGTTGATGCTGAGTTTCGATGCCAAGGCGAAGAGTGACGATGATGCCAAGTGGCGCACCAACGGCGACGAGATCAGGCCCGCGCGCAAAGCGCTGAGCGACTTCCCGGACGCTGCAGAGCACCTGCTGGTCGAGGCGGCATGCATCCCCGAGGGCGAGCCCGACGACGAGGTGATGAGGGAGACGAGGCATGCGTTGTCAGACCACGTCGCGCTCGCGGAGAAGCACTTGGAGGGCGGCAAGATCAGCGTGAAGCGTTGGAAGGGCGCGAAGTGATCGGCCCGCGGGGGAGGGGAATGGAGGGGGGGGGAGGAGAGAGGGAGGAGGGGGCGAGGGAGGGGAGAATGGGGGGAGGGCCGAGGGAGTCCGGGAGCGGGAGAGGGGGGGGGGAGAAACGAGCGAGCAGCCACGGGCAGCGCCCCCGCCAGCACGCGAAAGCAACTGCCTGCGACTGCGGCGGGCCGACAGAAAAGAAGCGCGGCGAAGCAAGGAGGCAAGGCGCCTCGTGCACGCGCCGCTTCGCGCGACAGCGCTGTGTCTGGCGGGAGATGTCGCAGCTCATGGGAACGCGTGGAGGCGAGTTCTCCTGCTGACGAGTGGGGGGGCAAGGAGGCGCTGCCTCTTGTGAAGCGCACGTTCGAAGTTCGAGGTTCGGAATTCGAACCTCGAACATCGAACTTCAAATTAAAGTTGGATCCCCCCCCGCCCCCTCCTGCTTCGGATGCCGCCTTCGCCCGAAGCTGTTGCAGACGCGAGGCGCCTGGCGGGCCGCGGGGCGGGCGCGCCGCCGTGTTCTCGAAGCGCCAGCCAGCGGTGGACGCCGGCGCGCTGCCGCCTGCAAAGCGCTTTCGCGCCACCTTGCAGACGCACATGATGAGGAATACTCTGTCCTCGGGCGACATGCAAAGGCTCGCCGCCGACGCCAGGGAAGGGGGGGCCGTGGGCGTCGGGGGCCTGAGAGCGGGGCGTGCCAACACGTCTAGGACCTCAAGGAGGAAGTTTCTCAAGGGAACGTTGTGGCCGAAGGAGCGCGCGGCAAAGGTCCGCGTGTGGAAACGCCAAGCGTCATCGAGAAGAGACAAAAGAAGTGCCCCTCTTGCTACCACACGAGGTTCTCTTGGCGCTGGGGAGGCGCGGCGACCTGGACGCGCTGCTGCAGAAGCAGGGGCTGGATGAGGGTGACCGCGCGCACGTGCAGGGCGCGGGGGCGAAGCTGGGCAGCCCCGCGGTGGCCATCGGCTAGCGGCAGGACGGGGCCCCCACCAAGTGGGGCAGATCTGCGTCGGCCGAAGTCCTCAGCATGAACTTGCCTGGCCTTGACCCCGACGGTCCCTACGGCAACTTGAGAATCCCATTGTTCAGCATTTTGAAGAGCCACTTGTCCACGAACACCTGGCACGACATCTTCGGCATCATACAATGGAGATTTCTGTCTTTGTGGAGAGGCTTCTGCCCGCGAGAGCGGCGCGACAAGACGCCGTTCTCGCGCCCCTTCGGATAAAGCTCAACAGCCGTGGGCCGACGGCAGGGCTCTCGAGGGCCCCCCCTTGCCAGCCCGCGGTGCCCTGGTGCAGTTTCGCGCGGATTGGAAAGCGTGGAAAGAAGTTTTTTCTTTCCCCGCCTGGAGCGAGGGCCCTGGGTGCTGCTGGAAGCGCAACATTCCCCCGGGGGAGGCGACTGGCCCCGCGCAAACGCGGAGGGGGGAGGAGGAGGAGGAGGAAGCAGAGGAGGAGGGGGAGGAGGAGGAGGGGGAGGAGGAGGAGGAGGAGGAGGAGCAGGGGGAAGATTGCTTGGTTGCACCTTGCTTTGTTTCTGCGTTCCCTGCTTCCCCCCCGCTCTCCACTCCGCGCCCCCCAGGTGGCGACGCAGACGTCGACGAGTTCTTGGTGGGCGAAGCCAACGAGCAGGCGCTCGGTGCAGGACGTGATCGCCATCATCCTGCGCAACGGAGGCCGCGTCTCGCCTGCGCTGAGTATCCCTGGCATCGCGATCGACGTGTTCAAGGTCGACTGGTTGCACGCCGTGGACCAAGGGGTCGGGGCGGACTTCGTGGGGGCCTTGCTCTGGCACATCATGGAGAAGCTCCCAGGGCGCCGCCGCGCGCAGCAGAGCGACGAGATGTGGGGGCTCATCCAGGCTCACTACGACGCGCACTCGACGCCCGACCGCCTCCACGACTTCAACGAGCGCACGGTGAAGCCCAAGAAAGCGTGCCCGAAGTTCCGCAGCCAGGCGGCCATCCCGAGGCATCTGATCTCATTCTTCAAGGAAGCGGCCGAGACGCATTGCGATTCTGGGAGTGCCGTGGACGACGCCGCGCTGAAAGCCATGCGCCACTTGCACTCCTGCTACCACACGTTGAGCGGCCAGTGCATCATCCGAAAGGATATGATGCGCGACTCCGCCAGCAGGTTCGCGACCTTGTTTGCCTCTCTTGCTGCGCTGCAGCCGAGAAATTGGCGCGTCAAGCCGAAGGCGCACCTGCTCCTCGAGATGGCCTTCGCGGGAGGGCAGCCGTCGCTGCGCTGGACCTACAGGGGCGAGGACTTCGGGGGCAGCGTGGGCCACGTGGCGAAGGGGCGCGGCTCCCCGCTCTCAGCGACGGGCTTCTCCCGAGCGGTGATCGCGCGCCACCGCGTGCAGCCGATGGCGCGGCTCGCGTGACTGCCGCGCGCGCGGACAGAAAAAGTGCACGCGCCACAGCGCCGCGGAGGAGCGGCGCCTCCTGCTCCACCAGGGCGCACGCGCCCTCTTCAGGAGGTCACACCTCCTTTTTCGAATGTTATACCGTGTTGGAGCATGCTTCGACGCTGATCGTCGCTAAAATTTAGCGTCGACGCTAAATTATAAGGATGGTAACTTTACGGCCGACTACTAAATAAGCAGCTGCATTAAATAAGCGTGGATGGATCTACATGGCGGGTCACGGGGTCACCGGGTCACCGGGACACTTCCGCGCGGGTCACCGGGTCACTGGGTCATTGGGTCACCAAATCACCGGGTCACCGGGTCACCGCGTCGCTTTTGGGTCACCGGGACACTGCGTCATCGGGTCATTTGACCCACATTGCCGGGTCACCGGATCACCAGTTCATCTGACCCACGCCGCCGGGCCACTGGGTCACCAGGTCAATTGACCCACCCACATTACGGGGTCGCCGGGTCACTAGGTCACCTGGCCCACGCTGCCTTGTCACTGGGTCCGGCCATTGCATGGGTCACCAGGTCAACCGGGTCACGGGGTCACCAGGTCACCGGGTCACCGGATCACCCTGTCACCAGGTCACCAAGTCGCGGGGTCACCTGACCGATGCTACCGGGTCACCGGGTCGTCAACGGGTCACCGGGTCACCGGATCGCCGGGTGACCGGGCCCACGCTACCGGGTCACCGGGTCACCGTGTCAGTCAACGGGTCACCAGGTCACTGGGTCACCGGGCTTTGGATGTCACCAGATGACCGGGTCACCAGGTCACGTCTCCGGGTTACCACCGGGTCACCGGGTCACCGGATCACCGGATCACCGGGTCACCAGGTCACCAGGTCACCGGGTCACCAGGTCACCGGGTCACCAGCGCCGGGTCACGGGGCACAGGGTCACCAGGTCACCTGATCATCGGATCACCTGTACACCAGGTCACCGCGGGTCACTGGGTCACCAGGTCCCTTGCTGGTCACCGGGTCATTGGGTCATTGGATCAACGGGTCACCTGGTCACCAGGTCACAGGGTCAGCGGGTCATTGTGTCACCGGGTCACCGGGTCGCTACTGTGAGTCACAGGGTCGGGTCAAAACCGGGTCACCGGGTTACCAGGTCACCGGGTCACCGGGTCACCGGGTCACTGGTCACCGACCCAATGAAACAAAAATTTCTAGTTCACATCCATTGAGAAAATCCACGCGGAGCGCCACCAGTTTAAGTTTATGGCTTTTTTTTCCCCGAGCAGAGCTTGCCTCCGTAGCGGTCCTACTGCGATGCCCGCCCCCCCTTGCTAAGTAGTTTGGCCGATTCTAAGATGGATATTATTAGGATGCATACCACTTCTATGTTGTGGTATCTCGGCTTATGTGAGCGAGTCGGGTTAATCCTGGGCCGAACCACATCGCCCGTTTAGATGACGTCGTGGGCAACGCGAAAGAGTTTCCCGCAAGTTATAAGTCGGTTAGCTGAATGCAACATATGCCCTTAGGTCAGGATAGCAATTCACTTAGCCGTAGTTGTTAAAAACCCTTAGATGTAGGTTAGCTAAACAGGTTAGCAAGGACTTAGCTAAGTCAAGCTAACCTGGCTAGCTCAGTTTAGGTACCCCACCTTCCGCATGGTGTGAAGGGTACGTTTCTGCGACCACGGCGCCTAGTTCACGGAGGACGGGGCGACGTTTTTGATATGTGAGCGCTCTATTACCAAATCCTCCGCCTCCTCATTTTCGTTGTTGGGCTGCTTCATCTCCTCCTCGCCGCCCTCCTCCTGATCAGCCGCCCCCTTCCCTTCCGCCATAGCTGTTTGGGCTCAACTGGTTCTTCCAGGTGGTCAGATAGCAGACGAACGCGTGCGACAATACAATTGGCACCATGGGCGACGCAGCCAAAATGTTCAACGATATCAATGGCATGATGGAGGCATTCAAACTTTCGACAGAAGAGGGTAAGGAGATGATGACTGTTGCAGACAAAATAATCGATATGCTCACAGCTTCTGGGTACGCATACAAGCAGCGCGTAGTCCCCAACTGTGTTCTGAGTCATCCTGACAATAGGTTCGGACTAGGATTGGACGCGGGCAACGTACACATTCTATGGAATGATATAGTGAAACGAGGATGGAGCTGGCACGAATGCAGCAGGGCATATTGTTTCGAGGTCGACGCAGGCAACCTTGGGAAACAACAGTTCGCATTCAACATAGCGCTGGCTGAGAGCAGCGAGGGGCTCCTTCCTAGGCCACTGGAGCAAGATATGCGCTACCTTTCCGTTACATGCAGCCACGCCAGCGCGTTGCTACGTTGTTTGCTTTACCAGTCGAAGTCGACCGTCGAAGACCTCTGCACGAGGGACGGCAAGCTCAGCCACGACATAGTTTTCGGCCAGGCCCCATCCATCAAGCAGGCCATGGACATTGGTTGAGAATGGGTCGTGATCAAGTCCGTCTGCTCAGCACAAATGCCACACCTGCCAAGCTTTCTGCAGGAGTCTGGGAACGCGGATCAAGGGACTCAGAGGCTGGCTTCAAAAATCCCAGTGTTGCGGCAGGTCTACCAGCGGTGCAAGAACCTCTCC